CAGCAGCAACAAAAGAACAAAGAATGAGCTTAAAACTCATTTAAATAAACCACAGAAAAAATTGGCATAAGCCAAAAAATTAAGGAAAAAGTAAAAGAAAACGACTATGGCTAAATAAAATAGTTGGCAGCCCTTAGTTGTCGTTAGAATGACTTCATTGTCTGTAGTTTGTGCACAATGGGTTGTTGTTGAACTTTAATTGATTTTATTAAGAGAAGCCAGTTTTTTAAATATTTTTAAGACAGTTATCGGTTAGATAACATAAATATACTGAAAAAATAGGTAACATTGTCTGAGAACTATTTCCAAATCTGGACCTTACTCGAATATTGTGCATTGACCATGAAAATGAATGGGAGTTGCAGCCTTAATGTATGTGTATTTCCAGGGATAAGAGCTTTCCCATGGTAAATTGTCTAGGACATTAAACATGTAGAAACATGAAATTGTATTGCAAATGTTCTGTTAAAAAGATCGTAGTGATAAAGTTGGTTGGTTGGAAACTGTCTGTACCCGATAATCGGTCGATTTTTATAATTTTTAGTACAAAAACTAAAAATATCAAATTAGATCCAATTCTGTTTTAAAAGGTATACAAATTCCCTAATATACCTATGAATAATTTAGTTCGTTCCATTATGTCGGAAAATATAAAATGACAGTCCAAAATATTAAATTAGACCCAATTCGGAAATTGTGACCAATTTTACCAAAATAATAAAATTTGTCAGGTTCCGTTACCCTAAAAAGAGGACCAATATTGATATTGATTAAGTATGAAGATATTCTTCCCAATCAGATACCAAAGTACCGAATTACAGTCAATTTGTTTGAAAATTGTGCCAAAATGGACCGATATATCCTATTACCAATGCCTGGCAATGACGGATAGACAAACAGACAGACGTGACGAAATCGATAGATTTTATGTTGATGGGGTCTCCGTGCAATATTTTAGAGTGGTTCAAACCGAATAATAAATTTAAAGAAAAATAAGCGAGAAATCAAAATATCTAAAATCGGTTGGTATCCTTAAATGGGGGCTATGTCAAAATATGGACTCACGAGGAAAGAAAAATAAAATTAACCACTTCGAAAAGTGGAAGGAACTTTTATAAGGGAGCCATGTTCAACATCGAAGAAAAACTGTGACGAATTTGTCTAGCCACCAAGATCCGGAAATACAAAATTAGAATCCTTTCGGTTGAAAATGAGCGTAGTACCATCAAATCAAAACCGTTTAAATCGACATTATTTAAACGATATATCGGTTATAACGACGGTTTCCAAAGGTCCTGCAAAAAAGTCCATCCCCTTAGTTCATATCACTTATAGCGACCAATTTCGTCTGTCTCTTGCCACCCCGTCCCGTCATTATAAGCAATTTCGACTGTATTTAAAAAGCAGACGAGAACTTTATAGGAGTTTGAATATTTTCTGCATAGAAGCCGTTCACCACCCCAAAAACAGGAATGTAAAATTACAGCCCGTTAGAAAATGCTTTAAAATACGGAAAATAAGAAAGTAGTGTATATAAGTGCTATGCCCAACAGCAAAAATGTTGCAAAAATAATCGTAATATTTACAATGCCGCATAGTTGGCGGTATGGTTACATTGGGAAAATTGCAATACGTGGAGCTATATATCTCATTTTCAATGCACCTATGATCATTCAGAACTCTACCTGAAATATTACGTGATTTCAATACAATGATATGCGGACATGGTTATATGGGGTTTCCAACGACTATGTTGAAGTGTTGCAAACGGAATAACGAATTTAATATATGATGGAGGGAATAACAAACTATACACTGTAAAACTAGGCCCACAGGCAAAAAAATCACCGATTCCACGTAGAAATGCAATTATGTGAGCCTATTAAAAAGTTGAATTGAATCAAAAAATGTAAAGGAACTTTGTGTAGGATAACGAAAATAAAATCGTTTTTTTAGAAGTTCAAATAGAGCCAAGTAGGATGGAAGAAACAATAGTCAAGCCCTAACAAAGAAAAACTGTGGATGGAGAAGTGTAGTTGGATTGGACCCTACATAACATCTTTAAACTTAACTTTATGTGGATATATATTCTGAGACCGCCAAAAAATTCGCGATATTTTCTCTTGTGTGGTAATTTTTAATACCAAAATATAACACTAGGGGGCCTACCTAGCTTGGAATATCGCCATATGTAAAATTTATGTAGGGCATAAATAATCAGAAACTTGTCAAAATATACCGGAAAATTAAAAAATAACAATAACCTGATACTCTAAAAACTATAAACCTCATACCTCCTTTCCGGAAAATTGAACCAATACCAAATTCGCGAATAAACAAATGGCTTATAATCACCGAGTACGGTGATCAAACCTCATAAACTCACTCCAAAAGAGTTTGTCAGTGAATACCTTGACCGAGAACCACAAAGCCGCCCAAATACCAACAAAAACCAGCAACAGTATAGACGGACAGGGTCATATGGTACCCTACACAACTACCACTGCGAAAGTCAACCACTCCACATTTACTCACTGGCAATTTCCCCTGGTCATGCCTCCCCGCAGTGAAATATACGCCATAAAATGCATAATTTTCTCATTATACACAAATATGTTGGTCCATTTGACCATGTTATGTTTATGTTCGTGAAATTCGGATCATAATTGTACGTTCTGTAGCGATTAAAAAACTGATTTTCGCTCCATTTTATTCCCAAAATATCCACTAATCAACCGGTCTATGTTTTCATGAGTGAATGTATACACCATAGAATGTACCATCCATTTTCCACACAAAAGTTTGGGTTCATTTGATCTCTTAAGTATTGATCTATTCTCACGAAAAGAGCCCCGATTGTTCCTTTATCCAACCGCTATCCCCATCAGAAAAAAAATATAATAATGTTTTTAATATATTTCATTCCCTAGATATTCACCAATCTATCCAAAACAATACGGATCTTCTTTGGCCAGAACCCGTCTTACATATCATGACGATTGATTCATAACTGTGGCCTGTATCGTGTTAACAAATTATAATGGACAGACGGACACAGGTTAGTAGAAATACGACTATCAGTATACTAAAAGGTGGGTCTATTTCGCTGAGTTACAAACACTTGCGACCACACGAAGCTATAATACCCTGACAAAATAGTTGTGTAATACCGTCACATAATCTCTTGGGGTGTAACCCATATGCAGTGTTGCCAAAACTTTGCTGATAAAAAATACTAGATTTTGTTTAAAAATGTGCTAAAAAAATTAAAAAAGTGTCAAATAAAAGTGCTAAAATTTGTATAAGGAAAATAGTAGAATCGGCTGAAATTTTTGATCTTCATTAGGTAAAAATTTCCATACTAAAAATTACACTGCGCGACACGAAAATTATTCAGGGGTTCTAATGTACTAATTCTAATTAGTTAAAGTCCCTGGACCACGAAAATACCTTTGGTTTTTCGAATAACTTTTTTCGATCAAATGGACTATAATTTGAATTTTTTTAATTCATTGTGTGTCAAATTTCCCCGCTAAAAGGAATTAATTTCAGTTTTTTGGGGTTTTGGAGAATGGCATATATGCAGAAAACTGTCAAGGTGGAAGTTAGCACATAGTCTTCATATTAAAGTACTGTTCTATCTTCTTTACTTTGAAGATTTTATTCGCATTCTCTGGGTTCTTGCAGGGTAGGATATATTCTTGCGAACAATTTTCTGCATAGGTATATATTTGGACATATCCCCCATATAAAGGTTTCATTATTTTTGTCCACTTTTAAGGTTTAGAACCAAATTGTCTGTAATTTAAAAATATTTTTGCCGAACTTTTTCGATGTAGGTCCATCTTTTGACATAACCCCATTATAAAGTGGAACGCGACCCATTTTCGGTGCTCTGAAGTGGCTATAATTTGGCATTCCGGATTCACGGTGTAAAAGTACAGAAAGTTTCCGATTTAGGTTCATGATTTCTACATCACTCCCATACAAAGGCCAGTTAATCTGGATTTTCATATTACAAAATAAACAACCTACTATCAAGCGATGATATAGTAACCATATGAAGTACCCTACAATTTTTTGAGAAAATGGTAATACACTCCACATGGTGCAGGGTATAAAAAGTTTTGACCGACCGAACATGAAGATTTTTTAATTGTCTACAGATGCACTGACACTTTTTTAACATTGGAAAATCAAACTCATAGCGTGTAACATAGGGGACATTTAATGCGTCAATTTAAAATCGAACTAATACCCAAAATTTTAACTAATTCCAGAAAAAATAAAAGTGCTGAAAAAGGTGCTAGGTGCTAGATCACTTTTTTGGTGCTAAACGAGTTTAAAAAATGCTAAATCTAGCACTAAAAGTGCTAAATTGGCAGCACTGTCCATAGGTGGTAAAAGTTTCGTAAAGATATTCGTGATCCTCGAGAAGTTAATATACCAGATAGTCTGATAATTTGGATTAGAAAAATTTGGTTTAAGCTTCAAGCCTTATTTCGGTCATTCTTCTAAACCCCTAAATTGTTTAAATGTTTTAAATAATAAAGAAAATAATTATAATATGATGAAAAACAACCAAATATCTCAAGTAATCCACTGTGCGCAGTACTAGCTTTAAAAGCCAAAGATATTCTTAAATCCAACGTTTGACTGCATAAGAAGTTAAATAAAATCTATAAAATGAGACAAGGACATGCATACCTTAATCACACAACCGCTCACACACAAAGGGTATATAAATTCATACACACACACACGTTCATACAATACATATTACAAAATATTAAAAATAAAAAATATACGTACGTATTTTATACTATTTCGCATTTTCTTTTTTTCATACTTTTCTTACGTGTTAGGGGGTTTAATTTTAAATTGAATCTGGTATCAGCATTTAACCACCAACATCCTAGTGTGCCAACAAAAGCACAGCTCTTCTATAAAACTCCAGGTTTCTTCCTCCATCGGTTATGCTATGCTACAACTAACGACTACTAACAGGCGACGTTATTTAAATGATTTGCACCTAGCACGACTCCGGCTGCCATATAGCCAACGACATTGCCATTTCCTTGCTGATAATGTTGATGCTGCGACTGGTGCTGCTGTTGGGAAGTAAGCTGATGATTATGGTGATTGTGATGATGCGTCGGCATGTGATGATGGTTATTTGTTCCGGTCGCAGACGACGTTGCTACTGTCGCCGCTGCTGCCGCCGCCACTGAACCATTCTCCGACTGAGAGACTGAAATTAAAGTTCCATTGCCTCCAGTCATAACCGCATTACCGGTAGACGTTGCTGTTGTCGCAGCACCTCCTCCACCCCCGCCCATACTACTATTCAGACTTTCAGTTACTTTCAAAATTCCAAGAGGTGTTGTGGCCGTGGCCGTTGTAGTTGCACTCGTACTCAAACTGGTGCCACTGATGTGAGCACTAATGCCACTCGGCACACTTGACATGACCGTACCAGCCGCACCGGTCCTCAGTAGCTCTTCATTAGGTATTGAGAAATGACGATAGGACATGTAGTCGGGTGGCAGGGCGGCCTGTCGTTTGGCATTCTCGATGCGTTGTTTCTTCAGCTTTACATAGCTCAGCACGGATATCATAACGATGAAAACAATAATACCCATGCAACAACCCACAATAAGACCAAGACGGCGTGTAAGTATGGAATGAATGAAGCCATTAGTGGCTAAGCCATTTTCATCGGTGATAACACTGGGCGTCGAATCGAGTGTCTGAACATCGGTGCAGGTGGAAAAACGTGAATTTTTGAGAACTTCTTGTAGGGCATTGTCGGTGGCCACGGTGTTTTCGATTAAGGCCTGCTGCTGTTGCGGTTGGGCCAGCGATGGATGTTCGCCAAAGGTCATGCTATTTGTATTAAACAAGCCTCCAGTATACGATAAATGATACGGTGTATAGCCGCCTGATCCATCTGACACGGAATATGAAGGAGACGAAGACGGTGCTGAGGACGACGAGTAGGAGGTGGAAGATGCGGAAGCAAATGGATACATTGATGCGTTTGGTTCATCACGTGGCGCCATAAGGAAGCTATCGTTAACATGTATCCTTTGTAAGGCAGTCGCTACAGGCTCCGATAGCCAATTACCGGTACCGATAACACAAATATGGTAACGTGTATTTGGGCTAAGTTTTGTTAATTTTGCTGAATGTGCCGAACCATTTAGTCGTTTGCCGCGTATCTGCAATAAAAAGAAAACACCATGAGACATAAGATAAAATGTGAAATGGACAAATCTTAAATGTAAATATGTACGTGCTGAAAAATTATGACAATATATTTTAAGAAATTACTTATTGGTGTGTTGGTGGTGTTGCTTTGGAGCGTTATTTTATTTTGCCCATGGAATTGAAATTATAATTGCATAATTTTTTAGTTGTATGTGTTGTTTCTTTTATGTTGACTAATAATATTAATTTTGTCATTATCGTCGAACTGAATTTGCAAAACTAGTACTCAATCTTCTTTCTACACGATGTAGTGGCACTTGCTTATACAAAGCTAATGTCAATTTTGGCAATTATAGTATCATTTGTGCCTATTGATTTGTATATGTGCGTAACAAAATCCGGTTCTGAACAAAGGCGAAACCTCGGCTTTTGTCCAGAGGATCATATTAAAAAAAATTGATTTTTGTCGCTTTTTCTAGTTCCAGTAGAGAACACAATTATAATCCGAACATAACGAAATTTTACATGAGGAAAAGGATTTGTGCACAAAATATAAATGACTGTTTATACCCTTCACCACACTGTGGTGCAGGGTATTATGTCTTTGTGCATATGTTTGTAACAGGCAAAAATAATCGAGATAGACCCATGGTTCCTTTTGAGAACATTCATAAAATCACTTTCTGGGTCGATTTATGCATGTCCGTCCATCCGCCCGTCCGTCTGTCCATGTTAAATTGTAAACAAAGTACAGGTCGCATTTATGATCCGAATTGGATGAAATTTGGCACAGCTCATTTGTTTGGCCCAAGGACGAACCCTATTGAAATTGGGAAAAATCGGTTCAGATTTAGATATAGCTCCTATATATATTTTCGTCCGATTTAATGTAAATGGTGCCCCAAAGTCCCTTAAAATCTTTCGATTAGCACGAAATTTGGCACAGCGTAATGAGTTAGAATGATGTGTGTTAAGTTTCGTGAAAATCGGTTAAGATTTAGATATAGCTCCCATATATATTTTCGTCCAATTTAATGTAAATGGTGCTCCAAAGTCCCTATGTATCTTTCGGTTTGCATGAAATTTTGCACAGCGTAATGAATTTGACCTAGAATGATGTGTGTTAAGTTTCTGGAAAATCATCGGTTCATATATAGATATAGATCCCATATATATTTTCGTCCGATTTAATGTAAATGGTGCCCCAAAGTCCCTCAAGATCTTTCGATTAGCACGAAATTTGGCACAGCGTAATGAGTTAGGTCTAGAATGATGTGTGTCAAGTTTCCTGAAAATCGGTTCAGATTTAGATATAGCTCCCATATATATTTCCGTCCGATTTAAGGTAATTGTTGTACCAAAGTCCCTTAATATCTTTCGGTTTGCACGAAATTTTACACGGCGTACTGAATTGCAGAATGACATGTTTTTGGATCCAATTTCATTTTACTGGTCCTTTAAAAATGCGACGTCTGTTAGGATTCATCTGTTTGAAGGGTATCATGTTGTCGGCTTCGTCCGACTTTACTACTTTCCTTACTGGTTCTTTTTATACCCTTCACCACACTGTGGTACAGGGTATTATGTCTTTGTGCATATGTTTGTAACAGGCAAAAGGAAACTAAGTCGATTTAAGCATGTCCGTCCGTCCGTCCGTCCGTCCGTCCGTCTGTCCGTCCGTCCGTCTGTCTGTCTGTCCATGTTAAATTGTAAACAAAGTACAGGTCGCATTTATGATCCGAATTGGATGAAATTTGGCATAGGTCACTTATTCGGCCCAAGGACGAACCCTATTGAAATTGGGAAAAATCGGTTCAGATTTAGATATAGCTCCCATATATATATTTAACCGATTTAATGTAAACGGTCCCTATATATCTTTCGATTTGCACGAAATTTGGTACAGCGTAATCATTTAAGTCTAGAATGATGTCTGCCAAGTTTCGTGAAAATCGGTCCAGATTTAGATATAGCTCCCATATATAGTTTCGTCCGATTTCATGTAAATGGTGCCCCAAAGTCCCTATATATATTTCGATTTGCACGAAAATTGGCATAACGTATTAAATTAAGCCTAGAGTGATGTCTGCCAAGTTTCGAGAAAATCGGTTCAGATTTAGATATAGCTCCCATATATAGTTTCGTCCGATTTCATGTAAATGGTGCCCCAAAGTCCCTATATATCTTTCGATTTGCACGAAATTTGGCATAACGTATTAAATTAAGCCTAGAGTGATGTCTGCCAAGTTTCGAGAAAATCGGTTCAGATTTAGATATAGCTCCCATATATAGTTTCGTCCGATTTCATGTAAATGGTGCCCCAAAGTCCCTATATAGCCTTCGATTTGCTCGAAATTTGGCATAGCGAAATGGATTAGGTCTAGATTGATGTGTGTTAAGTTTGCTGAAAATCGGTTCAGATTTAGATATAGCTCCCATATATATTTGCGTCCGATTTAAGGTAAATGGAGTACCAAAGTCCCTATATCTATATATCTTTCGATTTGCACGAAATTTGGCATAACGTATTAAATTAAGCCTAGAGTGATGTCTGCCAAGTTTCGAGAAAATCGGTTCAGATTTAGATATAGCTCCCATATATAGTTTCGTCCGATTTCATGTAAATGGTGCCCCAAATTCCCTATATATCTTTCGATTTGCACGAAATTTGGCATAACGTATTAAATTAAGCCTTGAGTGATGTTTGCGAAGTTTCGAGAAAATCGGTTCAGATTTAGATATAGCTCCATATATAGTTTCGTCCGATTTGATGTAAATGGTGCCCCAAAGTCCCTATATATCCTTCGATTTGCTCGAAATTTGGCATAGCGAAATGGATTAGGTCTAGATTTATGTGTGTTAAGTTTGCTGAAAATCGGTTCAGATTTAGATATAGCTCACATATATATTTTCGTCCGATTTAAGGTAAATGGTGTACCAAAGTCCCTATATATCCTTCGATTTGCACGAAATTTGGCATATCGTACTTAATTAAGTCTAGAATAGTGCACGTTAAGTTTCTCGAAAATCGGTTTGGATTTAAATATAGCTCCTATATAAATTTTCGTCCGATTTAATGTAAATAGTGTACCGAAGTCCCTATACATATTTCGATTTGCACAAAATTTGGCATAGTGTACTAAAATGAGTCTGGAGATTTAAGTGAAATGAGATTTATATATAGCTCCTATATATTTTTGCTTCCGATTTTATGTAAATTGTGCACTAAAGACCCAAAGTTTGTCCGATTGCCACACAATTATGTACAATACAGAAGTTAATATAAGATAATCTCTGCCATTCTCATTGAAATCGGTTCAGATTTTGATATAGCTTCTACATATATATTTTCGTCCAATTTTACACAAAATTGACACAAATTTTGCACAACGTACTAAAGTTTTGAAATTTGGAAAGTGTAGAAATCGGTTCAGATTTTGATAGAGCTTCTATATATATTTTCTGCCGAGTTTTGGTAATTTTGTCCCATTGTAAGAAGCAACCGTATATCTGAACAAATGAAAAATTTAGTATAGGTTGCAGAATTCGACGTCTATTAGCATTCATCTGTTGAATATACCCAAAGTGGTGAAGGGTATCATATAGTCGGCCCCGCCCGACTTTTCTACTTTCCTTACTGGTTTTAAGTGTCGTCTCATTATACCCTTCACCACACTGTGGTACAGGGTATTATGTCTTTGTGCATATGTTTGTAACAGGCAAAAGGAGACAAGATAGACACGTGGTTCCTTTTTAGAATATGCATAGAATCACTTTCTGAGTCGATTTATGCATGTCCGTCCGTCCGTCTGTCCGTCTGTAGATGTTAAATTGTAAACAAAGTACAGGTCGCATTTATGATCCGATTTGGATGAAATTTGGCACAAGTCACTTATTTGGTTCAAGGACGAACCCTATTGAAATTGGGAAAAATCGGTTCAGATTTAGATATAGCTCCCATATATAGTTTCGTCCGATTTAAGGTAAATGGTGCACCAAAGTCCCTATATATCATTCGATTTGCACGAAATTTGGCATAGAGTACTGAATTAGGTCCAGAATGATGTATGCCAAGTTTCGAGAAAATCGGTTCAGATTTAGATATAGCTCCCATATGTAGTTTCGTCCGATTTTAGGTAAATGGTGCACCAAAGTCCTTATATATCAATCGATTTGCATGAAATTTGGCATAGAGTACTGAACTAGGTGCAGAATGATGTGTGCCAAGTTTCGGTAAAATCGGTTCAGATTTAGATATAGCTCCCATATATAGTTTTGTCCGATTTAAGGTAAATGGGGCACCAACGTCCCTCTATATCCTTCGATTTGCACGAAATTTTACATAGAGTACTGAATTAGGTCCAGAATGATAAGTGCCAAGTTTCGAGAAAATCAGATTTAGATATAGCTCCCATATATAGTTTTATCCGATTCTATGTAAATGGTGCGCCAAAGTTCCTATATACCTTTCGATTTGCATGAAATTTGGCACAGCGTACTGATTTATGTCTAGAATGATGTGTGCTAAGTTTCGGAAAAATCGTTCTGGTTTCGATATAGCTCCCACATATACATATATATTCGTCCGATTTTACATAAATGGTGCAACAACCTTCTAATGTTTGTCCGATTAACTCGATTTTTTGCACAACATATCAAGTTGAGACTTGAATAACGTTATTGCGTTTTGTGGAAATTGATGTAGATGCTGTCATAGCTTCCATATGTATTTCGAATGGATGTCTGAATGAAATTAAAATTTTAACAGTGCGGCGACCGAATAGCTTGTATTAATTTTGCTATAGGTCGTTTTTCATAAATTTGTCCCATGGTACGAAGACGACTTTAAATCTGCCCGAATGAAATTAAATTTATCATAGGTTGCAGAAAGACGTGCTTATGTTCCTTGGAGGGGATACATATGTACAATATCCCCAAAGTGGTGAAGGGTATCATATAGTCGGCCCAGTCCGACTTTACTGCTTTCCTTACTGGATTTTGTCTTGTGTCATTTTATCCAATGTTAAACAATCTTGGACTTTATACTCGTCAACATTTGTTTGATATATTAAATTTTGCATTTATATCGAAGTAATTTGAAAAATACATATGCGAATTTCATAACGCCATGCAGATGGCACTAACGGAGTCTAAAATAAAGAAACAATGAAATGTAAACCTAACAACAGTCAAGTGAGTGGAGAAACGGTGGTTTTTAGTAAAACAAGCAGCAGTTAAATTGTAGCACAATTAAAAATCACCAGGTGTAGTGAGCGGTGTAGGACGATACCAAAACAAAACACTGCCGAACAATGAGTGGTGTGGTCTTTTTTTCTTATAAGGAATACATTTGTTCTTGTCACAAAGAAAGAGAACTAAATATGAGCACAAATATAGGCAAAGTAAATCAAATACGAAAATAATTCTTATGTTAATGAAATATTTGAAATTATAAAAAAAAAACTTTGGGAGCTTGGTTGAGAAGTTTTAATGTATCCGCTATACATTCCGGACTTGGCACCAAGCGATTATCATTTTTTTCTTGACTTGCAAAATTTTTTAATGATAAAAAATTGGTCAAGCCTAGATGAAGTCAGAAAATGGGAGCTATTGGTCCACTATTTCAATATTTATGAATGCAATTTCAGGCTAATGGAATGTTTCCTTTTGAACCAAACTTTGAACAACCAAGATGGGACTCATTGGTCCACACCTTCTGGTGATAAATGATAAAAATATGCAATATTTATAAATAAAATATTAAGCGAAAGAAATATCCAATTTGAAAATAAAACTTTGCACAACCTATTATCTCTACCAAACCCAGATCAAGCTCCTTCAGTTACCTCCCCCATAAAATGGTCAAAATTGTGCAATAAAAGAGTCATTTGTGTACAATGGGACAAATTTATGGAAATCGATCTATAGCCAACTTGACAAACGCTATTCGGTGTGCCGCACTGAACTGATTTTTACGAAACTTAACATACATCGCTCTAGACTTAATTCAGTACGCTATGCCAAATTCTGTGTAAATCGAAAGTTATATAGGTACTTTTGTGCATAATTATCATTAAATCAGACGAAAATATATATGGGATCTATATTTAAATCTGAATCGATTTTCCCCAATTTCAATAGGGTTAGTCCTAAGGCCAAATAAACGAAATCGGATTATAATTGCGACCTATACTTTGTTTACAATTTAACATCAACAGACGGACGGACAGACAGGCGGATATGCATAAATCGACTCAGAAAGTGATTCTATGCATATTCTCAAAAGGAACTATGTGTCTATCTCGTTTCCTTTTGCCTGCTACAAACACATGCCCAAAGACATAATACCAAATTGAAATTCATATTTTTGGAAAAAAGTTTTATATCCATCATTTTTAATAATTATCTTCTAATTATTAATAATTTTCATTATAATCGCCATTTCCACCTACTTAATTGACCGCCATTTCATGTTAATATTTTTACACATATAAATTTTATATGTATGTATAAGATATGAGCTGGGGCCTATTGTTGTATCTTAAATATATATCTAAAGTGGTGTAGGGTATCGTATAGTCGGTCCCATTCTTTTCCTACTGATTTATTTTGATTTTTACAATTACAAGAACATTTAATATTCAATATTTTTATGTTCTCGTTTTGCTCTCTTCAAAATCAATATCATTATTATTTGTTTTTGCAAAAATTTCAAGTACTGTGTTCAATTTTAATACCAGTCAATTACAAACCCAATAAACCGATTTACTTACCCTATCAAAAAAAAAAAAAAAAAAAAAAATCCACTCAAATTTCATTTTATATTTACTTGCAATTACCTCCTAATAGTCTTCTGCCCTAAATATGAACTCAAAAATGTAAATGTCGAACAGCAATTCTCCCAAATTATGTAGTTAAATTCAGTGATGCAAAGATTTCAATATGTTCATCATTCTTAAATCTCAGTTCAAATTACGGCAATAAAAATGTTAAAAATAAACAAAAAACAACGCACACATACATCCACAGAAATTGTCGAAAACATTGTCAATTACAAACACGTACCGAATTTCATGGCACATTAAGAGAGTCGGATGTGCCATATCTTTGTATATGTTTGGTCCTGTCCGCAAGGACGTTCAAAATGAGTCAATGCGTGTCATTGTGGGCCTATTTCCGTTTAGTGATGCATTTGACAACGACGAAAAGGAGGTGGGTACGCACACAAATACACAATGTGCATGGCGGGTGTGTGTGTGAGTGTGTGTATGTGGGTTTTAAGTCCTATCCCCGTATGTGTAATTATTGTTAATTTTATTGCAGTAATTTTCCAACAGTAAAAATTGTCACTTTTCCTCCAATGATGGTAGTTGTTGGATGCCGAACATGTTTATGTTGGCATTGCTGGCAATTTGTTGCTGCTGTTGTTGTTGATACGAACAACATTTACGACAGTTGATGGTGTAACTGCAATTTTATGTTGTTTGTAATTTCGTTTTTCTTTTTTGTGTGAATGCCAAAAATACAAGAACGACAACAACAGGATGTAATGAAATTTAAAATGATTTCTGTCAACCGCCCAGAACCACCTCCGTATGTGTACTTTAAAACAGATCCATTACGTATGTTGATGAGCTTCGTGTATCTAGTATAGCCGATGGTCGGTGAATAGGTACACATCATTTGAATATTAATATGAAAATTGCATAACATTCGATTCGCCATGAATAAACATCAGGTGACAAAGGATAATTTGACCTTCAATACCTAAGACTATTAGAATCTCAAGGCGTGAATCTTTTAATTTTTTTTCAAAAACAATTCAAGGCGTGGATTATATAAAAATATTCTTTCCAAGGACTATTCAAGGCGTGGAGTAAAATAATATTTTTTAAAGGACTATTCAAGGCGTGGATTTTTTAAAAATACCTTTTCAAGGACTTCTTCAAGGAGTGATTTTTTAGAATAATTTTTTTCAAGGACTAATTTAAGAAAATTTTTCAAGGACTATTTCAAGGAGTGAATTTTTTAAGAATATTTTTTCAAGGACTACTTCAATATTTTCCAAGATCTACTTCAAAAATATATTTTCAAGGACTACTATAGGGCGTGCATTTTTAAAAAATACTTTTTCAAGGACTTCTTCAAGGAGTGATTTTTTTAGAATATTTTTTTCAAGGGCTACTTCAAGAACTTTTTATACGTAGATTTTTTAAAATTTTTTCAAGGACTTCTTCAAGTGTGGATTTTTTAAAAATATTTTTAGATTTTCAAATTTTCACCACAGACAAAAAGATATGTTGATAATCCTATGGAGTCACAATATTGTCGTAACTCAGTTTCCAGTGCAAGTCCTTAAATTTCACGATAACACGTTCAGCAAACTATATGGTATTTATATGTCATTTTCAGTAATTATATACATAGATATAAATGTGAGTGTGTCTGCATGTTTGAAATTGTACTTACCTCATCTATGTCAGGATAACCACCTCCAATACTATTGCTGCCACCACCACCTCCACTACCATCACCAACAATGGCATGATATACAATTTCATAGCCGTTTAATCCTAAATGCTCACGGCTCTGCCAGGATACAATAACCGAATATGGCTGTATATCCTGTATGGCAATTTTGGGAATTAATGGTGCATCACAGAATTGTTGCGGCTCCATTTTGGCAAATATCTTGCCACGCAACTCAGCCGGATGTTCGCACCTTAGATAATTAATGTTATCGCCCGATGACATCATTACCGAGGACAGAGATGACGATGCTGATGAAGACGATGATGGTGACGACAGGGAATACGAGGACGATGACAACGATGAGGCGGCAAAGGAGGATGGCGATATTGAGCCACCTGATAATGATGACGTCGACGAGGACGATGTTAAGCTGGCGGTAGTGGATGAAGACCATTTGCGATGATCACGTAACCATTCCCAGAGTTTTTGGGCATCACAACTGCATTGCAGTGGATTTTCTGTACAAATGCACAGCAGTAATTATGTTGTTGTGATATTGTTGTTGTCGTCGTCGTTGTTCGTAATTGTGGTGTTGGTGTCATCATGTAATTCATACAATTTTTGGCCAAACGTTGGAGAAATTGAGCCAAAAATTTTGCGGTGTGGATAAAGTCACCCGATTAAGTTATATTCCACATCGCACAATTTAATTAATGTCCACGCAGTCATTTAAGTATTGGCGGTGCGATGAAGAGAAATTGCAATGTTGTCATCGTATCGCAGGTTTGCAATTCACATTGTGGTCCATAGTTGGTTTCACATGAACAGAGAGATATGAAAAGAGAATCGGGAAGAAGAAGAAGAGGAGGATAAACATTTTTCGTTAGTATTGCCAAAAAATTAAATGGTATTTATTTGGGTTATGTAAATATTTTAAATAATTGTCATTTAATTAATTTGCAGCAAATTCGCTTATGTACAATATGAATGTTTAATGTTGGATATATTTAAAAAAAATCAGAACAAAGTAGAAATGCGAAACGAATGAATTTTGAATATTGAGATTTTAAGAGGAAAAACGTATAATACGATGAAAATATATATAATGCATCAAGTATTAATTTTTGAGTATTTATGAAACATTAAACTTAAAAACATTGTTATCTTCACCATAACGTATTTTGTAGGTATGAATCCGGAATTTGGCATTTCGGATTCATATAGGTACATATTCCTATTATAACCTCTGTTTATTTTATTTTATATTATTATTTATTTTTTTTTTTTGAAGACTTTTCAAAATTTGAATATAAATCAATGTTCTGCCTATTTGCTGGTAAGTTCAATGTTCATTCTCGGTGTCAATTTTTATTTTTTATTTAATTGGAATCTACACTAATTCAAGAATGTCCCTACAAAATTTCTAGTGAAAATCTCAAGAACCATTGAAGATACAGCCGATTTATTGTGTCAGCATCATGTGACGGCAGGAGTGATTCTCAAACTTTAAACACATGTTTCTCGAAGCAGTGGTTTTACGAATGGCGGGCACGATAACTCAAAAACTAATGATCTAATCTGTTCCAAATTTTGACACGTTTCTCTGGGAGTGTATAGCTATCGTATGAACTAGGATAAAGCCAATCGGTGAAGATCTACCTTATTTTTTAATTTAGTTTGTGGTCAAAAATAGGCGAATTATAAAAAAATTAAAGGTCCGCCATGTTGTTAATTTTTGAGAGAAGTCAATAATCGTAGTTCATACGAGAGCCAGACATGTACTCTTTCTAACACTCTTGAAATTTCCGCATTTTGATGTTCCAGTGAGGAGGTATCATACCCGCTATCAAAAATAAGGAATGTTCTTTAATCAAAAAAAAAAAAAAAAAAAAAAAAAACAAAAAACAAAAAATTCGGATCACCATTAACTTTAAATCGGACAATATGTAAATCTGCCTTGTCAGAATTTGGTTATACTAACTGCAGAACGTTTTGCAAAATTTTGTGCCAAGCTTAAGTCAATACAATGCACACATCGAACGTTATCTGCAAAGAATTTCACCCTCCCATATCTCCAAATGCCAAATGGTGCTAAAATGTTCAAGATACCAAAAATTGAGCGGGACCTTCGTATGAGGATTCCTACATTGAATATTTTTGCATAAAGTTTCGTGCACTGCAAGAACGCCAAATAACTGTATTTTCAGTTTAAAAAGGTGGCAATATCTTAAAAATACCAAAAAAGTAAGATATGTGAGGTGTGACCAAATCCGTCTCAGAAAATTTGTAGTCGATTTACAAATGTCCGTCCGTCTGTCTAGCTGGTGAGCACTATAACTTTTGAAGGACATAATCGATTGCACCCAAACATTGCACATCTTAATATTTCTTCCAAACTTGGTTCAAGTTCGAAGATGGGGAATATCGGTCCACTTCTTCTGGTACCTCCACCACAAAATGGTCAAAATTGTACTATAAATGTATTTTATAATATCATGCGAACGGACTATCCGATTTGAACCAAACGTTGTACAACCTATTATCTTTACCAATCCTAGATCAAGTAGGAAGATGGGACCCATTGGTCACTCCTTCTGGTACCACCCCCACAGAGGAGTATCTGTTTATGTGATCGTTCTTCTTCTTAGCTGGCTTGTTACAGAACGGTCGTTCCATAAGCCGAGCTTAAAACAGATTTCCAAGCGCGTCGGTCTTGTGCGCAAGTCCACCAATTTGGAAGACCACGTTCCAATATGTTGTTTTCTACTTGGTCTTTCCATCTAATTCGTGGCCTTCCCCTTCTACGGGAACCATCAGTAGTCTTATTTTTATATGGCTTTTGAGCTGGGGCATTTTCATTCATCCGCACAACATGGCCTAGCCACCGTAGTCGCTGCAGCTGCAGCTCAATACGACTGACTGTGTCGATGTCCGCGTATAAATTGTAAAGCTCGTGGTTCATTCGACGCCGATATTCACCGTCTACGCAGATCGGCCCGTAGATCTTTCGGAGTATTTTTCTCTCAAACACCCCAAGAGCTGCCTCATCTGATTGCGCAAGTACCCATGCTTCTGATCAATATAAGGTAGTATCAGCGTCTTGTAAAGTGTGAGTTGGTCTGGCGGGAGGTGGCCTTGTTTCTAAACTGCTTACTTAGACCATAGTACCATCTGTTGGCCATCACAATCCTTCTACGAATTTCAAAACTGATGTCATTCGTTTTATTTATTGCGGTACCAAGGTATATAAATTCTTTAACTACCTCGAAGCTGTAGTTCTTAAGTTCCACAGTTGGTACGAGTCTACTGCCAGACCCACTTTGGCAGACTCTTTTTTGTTCAAAGGTGGCTGTTACCGCTCACAATGTTCCACCCATTATATCGATGTCATCGGCGTAGGCGAGTAAATAGAGTTGTTTGGTGTACAGAGTGCCATTTCTGTTCACCTTTGCGTCTCGTATGACCTTTTCCAGCAGGATGTTAAAAAGATCTCACGATAAACTATCACCTTGACTTAATCCTCGTTCGGTATTGAAGGGCTCCGATAGGTCCTTTCCTAATTTAGCTGCTGAACTTGTGCCACTTAAAGTTATCCTGCATAGCCGTATTAATTTTGCAGGAATGCCGAACGCAGACATGACTTTAAACACATCTGAACGGATCGTTATTGCGAATATGAATTCAATCCTTATAAAAAACACCAAATATGTCTACATCATTCAAACAACTTTCAGAAGTACTATATGGTTATGAGAGAACCTTGACCCATGGTGGTGAAGTTTTTACTAATGCAAATTCCCGAAGATTCAAAGTGACGTGTCAAGTTATCATTAAACTATGAAAGATGCGGTTGATCTATAAATTTGTATCAATTTTAGTGATGTAAACGAACGAATACGGGAGATATTCCAAAATATATTTAAGAAACCTATATATTCTAATATCATTTATTTCTAATATCCCAAAATCTGACTAGTTTTAGGTGTCAGCTTCGCAGAAAATTTAAGTTTTTAATTTAAAAAAAGTTTTCAATTACAAAATCTATTCAAATTGAAATTATATCAATAGCTATATTTATTATATTTTTTTTTAATTTAAAAAAAGTTTTCAATTACAAAATCTATTCAAATTGAAATTATATCAATAGCTATATTTATTATATTTTTTTAGTTTGACTTACCTTCCAATCTCAATGTCTTAATGTTCGCCTCTAGGGGTTTCAACGCCTCAATTGGTACCAATTCAAAATAATTCTTTCTCAAATCCAAAATATGCAGTTTGCGTAAATAACGAAAAGCATCCACCGACAATACGGTCATACGATTTCCCATCAAATACAACTCCACCAAATTATGCAAGTGTGTAAATGTAAATCTCGAAATGCGATCCAATTGATTGAAAGATAAATCACAAACTTGTAGCTGTACCAAATCCGATGAAAATTCATCCAATTCGCGTAAAATATTGTGAGAAATATTCAGCACACGTAAATTATTCAGACCCTTTAAACGTTCTATGGGTAACAATTCCAATTCATTAATACTTATATCGAGAGTAAGTAAATTCGTGAGATTTGTAAAAGCCCCAGGAGAAATTCTTGTTATGCGGTTGTTAACCAGATGTAAATGTTGTAGGGCCTTGAAGGCCTTAAAGTCATAGGAGGTGAGTATTGAGAGATTTGTTTGACATATATAGAGTTCCTTGAGATAGGGATATCTTTCTTCAATTACGGTATAAATAGTGTTGATGGGATTCCCGGTGAGGTTAAGCCAGGATAGACGGGGCAATGATATATCCGATAAGGCGGAACTGGGTATTTGCAGAAAACGATTACTGGACAAGTCAACTTTTTGTAGATTAATGGAATTCCGTAGAAAATTTGCTGGCAGGGAAAGTAAATGATTGCCACTTAAATCGACGGTATCAAGTTGGGTTAGATTGACAGCATTAAAGCCGGTCAGTGATGTGATTTTATTTTCTTTGAGATTTAATTGTCGTAGATTTAGGGTTCCACTGAGTTTGTAAAAATCTATTGTGGAAAAGAGATTGCGTGATAGATCCAATATTTCCAGGGTACTCAAATTGTACAATGCCACATGAGGAAATTCCACTAAATGATTACGACATAGCCTTAGTTCCTTGAAAACATTCAGGCCATTGAAGAGGTTGCGGCTCATGGTCGTCAGCTGATTATCACAGAGATCCAATTTTACCAGATTGGTATTTTTATTAAACATATCCTCGGGCAAGGCGCTGATAGAACAATTGGCCATGGTCAAATGTTGTATGGATCTCAGCTTGTCGAACATACTGGCCATTGTGGCCATGTGATTGGTGAAATTATTGTGCGATAAAAAGAGTGTGCGTAAACCTGGTAACTCTAATTTTTGTATATCGGACGGCAACAAATAATTAAGCTCCAAATTAAGTTCATTGAGGTTTTGCAGCGACTTAAAGGTATTATTTTCGATTTTCCTTAAAGAGGTATTTTTCAAATTCAAATGGGTTAGCGCCAAATCTTCCATGAACACATCATTGGTTATTTGATGCAGCGGATTGTGTGAGAGATCTAGGATTTTGAGATTTTTCATTTTATTAAAAGCATAACCTTCAATTGCCTCAATGAAATTGTGGGCCAGCAGCAACTCCTCCAAATTGTTGAGGGCGGCAAAATAATCTCGCCTCAATTGTTTCATACGATTCCAACTCATATCGAGGAATTTTAAATTCTTCAGCTTAGCAAAGGTGTCACGATCTATATCCCTTATGAAGTTGTGATTTAAATACAACCGGGCCAAGTCAACTTGATCCTCAAACATGGACTTCTCCACACGTACCAATTCATTGTGACTTAACCACATAATTTGTATTTTATCCTGTCGACGAAATGTTTTCACATGAATTTTATTCAAATAGTTTGCCTCCAATTGGATGGTCAGCAGTGAGGAATTATTCGCATCCTTGGGAAAGATGTCCTCCAACACGGTCAATTGATTATCTTGCAGATTTATATGTTGCAAATTATACAAAGTTTGAAATGCTCCCGGTTCAATATCTTCAATATTATTTTTCTGGACATGCAATTCCTGCAGGGTAGGCAGGGGTTCAAACACACCCTTTCTTATTCGCCTTATACGATTATTGTGCAGTCGTACCTCTCTCAGAAATTCCAATTTACGAAACATACCAATTTCCAAATCTTGTATTTCATTATCATCCAAAGAGAGGGAACTCAGTTTCTGGCACTTATCCAACAATGTAACCGGTAGTAGAGGTATAAAATTTGCCCTCAAATACAAATGATCCAAATTAACTAACGACGAAAATACATTTGGATCCACATGGGCAATGGCATTATATTCCAAATAAATCACCTCCACATTTGACGAATTTGTAAAAGCATCTGCTGGCAGTTCCAAAATATTATTTTCCGATAAAAATATTTCTCTCAAATGGGGTAAATTCGAAAACACTCCACTTATCGAATGTATATGATTATGACTTAAATCCACCGTTTGCAAACGTTTATTTTTATCGAATATTTTCGAATCCAACGATATTATACGATTATGTGACATATCCAGTGACATTAATTCTTTTAGACTTTTAAATGCATCCGCTTGCACGGTTTCAATTTGATTCGCATACATTGACAACGTTTTCAGTTGGGGAAATGTACGAAAACAATCATCGAGAATTTCGGTGAATTTATTTGAACTCAAATCCAAAAATGTCAACGAAGGCAGTCGTAATGTCGAAGCAGCCGTTGCATTATTTGTCACCAGCTGGATATCACCATAAAATGTGGAAATTTTATTATTCGATAGTCGTAGAATTCGTAAATAATCTAATTTCCTTAAGGCCATCATGGGGAAGGATCTTAAACTATTTTCAGATAAGTCAATTTCTTGCATTGACTCCTCCAAGCCCACAAAGGCATGTTCGGGGATACTTTGCAGCCGATTTCCTTTCATATTCAGCTTGGACAGACGCAAACCATAGAAGCTGTAATCTTCGATTTTCTCAATTTCATTGTAATCGAAATCTAAAGCGCTTAATTTTTGCATTGAATTAAGTGCTCGCGATGGTAGCTGAAAAGAGATGAGAGAAAAAATTAGTTATTATTAAAATTATTAAAAAAATACAAATGTTAATTAATTCATTAATAAGGAACCTTCTTCAGGAAAATTCGCACAAATATTAATGACTGCTGAAATAGTGAAATTACTTGAAACTCCAACATTTTGAACATTGGCTCTTGAAATCTTAATAAATGAGAGTCTCGTAATCCGATAAAGTAGAAATTTTTTTTGTACTCATCGAACGATAAATATGGGCCCGGACGGCTCTGATAAGCTTTAATATGTCAAAGAACAGGCTTATATTGATCCCTCTTTAATCTTAATTGTGGACACTCACCTCCACGCGGTGTGACCCGTTAAAATAGTGAGTTGGTATGAAAAAGCTACGAAAAAGAAAACCAAACACACCTAATGTTGACGGCCCCCGCAAACGTATTGCCTTACTGGAAATGCGATGGAAAGGGACAGGCGTTAGTAAATCAGACAATTACGCACTGGTGACAGATACAGACAGCGTGTTGAGGATCTGGAAAGAGGATTTTGAAAAGCTTCCAGTATGAAATAGTGGCGGTGAAGAAGATACCCAAGAACCAATAGGGGATGAGGGTATAGAGTGTATACCACCTAGTGTATACACTACAATCAATCGGCTGAAGAATAATAAAGCAGCAGGTGCCGATGGGTTACAGCCGAACTATTCAAGACAAGCTAGAGGAATGCATGCCCAATAATTGGAACCTCAGCATCATGTGCACCGTGCACAAAAAAGGAGACAAGGCGATATGTGCCAACTATAGAGGAATAAGTCTCATTCCCATCGCATATAAAGTGCTATCCAGTGTGCTGTGTGAACGACTGAAGCCAAAGGTCAATGACATATTGGACCATACCAATGCGGCTTAACACCTGACGAATACGCCATTGACCAGATTTTCACACTACGCCAAATCTCGGAAAAGACCCACATGCAACACATCGACACATTCCACCTATTAGTCGACTATAAAGCCGCATTCGACAGCCCCATCCATTCAAAGGTATTTAAAGTCATGTTTGCGATCTGCATTCCATTAATATGGGTATGCTGGATAGCTTTAACTGATTCAAGGCCATCAGTTAAAGTCGGAAAGGGCCTATAGGAGCCTTTCAATACTAAACTAGGATTGAAGCCAGTAAGGAAAGTAGTAAAGTCGGACGGGGCCGACTATATGATACCCTTCACCACTACGGTATATTAAACAGGACTATTAAAAATTGGATGAAATAAAATATGTGATATTTATCTAAATATGAATCTACCTAGATCTATCCATAAAGTATGTAAATCGACTTCAAACAAATATAAATAGGTCATCCATTGGGCTATGTCTGTACTTCTCGAAAACGCAACTACGTAATTCTATGCTCAATTTTGTAAGTTGTGCAAACTTTGATGTCAATCTGACTAACATGAGGAGTTTGATGCCCAATTTACTTGAAATCCAAATATTAAGCGATTTCAAGCTAACTTGTCACAGGTTAGGTTATACTAATTTCAGAACGTTTTGTTCCTATCAGCCTATTGGATCCTTGGTGCGTCAATTACTTATAATCAATCTATAATAAAAGGGAGCTATATCTAAATCTGGACCGATTTTCAGTACGTTATGCCAAATTTCGTGCAAATCGAAAGATATATAGAGATTTTGGTGAACCATATACATGAAATCGGACGAAACTATATATGGGAGCTATATAGAAATCTGGACCGGTTTTCTCGAAACTTGGCAGACATTCATTCTAGACTCAATTCAGTACGTTATGCCAAATTTCGTGCAAATAGAAAGATATTTAGCGACTTTGGTGCACCATATACCTGTTATCGGACGAAACTATATATGGGAGCTATATCTAAATCTGGACCGATTTTCTCGAAACTTGGCAGACATCATTCTAGGCTCAATTCAATACGTTATGCCAAATTTCGTGCAAATCGAAAGATTTATAGCGACTTTGGTGCACCATTTACATGAAATCGGACGAAACTATATATGGGAGCTATATCAAAATCTGGACCAATTTTCTCGAAACTTGGCAGACATCATTCTAGGCTCAATTCAGTACATTATGCCAAATTTCGTGCAAATCGAAAGATATATAGCGACTTTGGTGCATCATTTACATGAAATCGGACGAAACTATATATGGGAGCTATATAGAAATCTGGACCGATTTTCTCGAAACTTGGCAGACATCTTTCTAGGCTCAATTCACTACGTTATGCCAAATTTCGTGCAAATCGAAAGATACATAGCGACTTTGGTGTACCATTTACATGAAATCGGACGAAACTATATATGGGAGCTATATCTAAATCTGGACCGATTTTCACGAAACTTGGCACACATCATTCTAGACCTAAATTGTTAGGCTATACCAAATTTCGTGCAAATCGAAAGTATATATAGGGACCGTTTACATTAAATCGGTTAAATATATATATGGGGAGCGATATCTAAATCTGAACCGAATTTTCCCAAATACAATAGGCTTCGTCCTTGGGCCAAATAAGTGACCTGTGCCAAATTTCCTTTAAATCGGATCATAAATGCGATCTGTACTTTGTCTAGATGGACGGGAAAACAGACATGCAAAAATCAACTCAGAAATCTGCATATTCTCAAAAGGAACCATATGTCTATCTGGT